TCATAATGATGATAATGATAATTATCCGAATTCTCAGTGGCGCACGAGCGGGTATATCTTTATTACTAGAATGAGTACCGAGTATGCGGACTCGGTACTTCAGAGGCAAAGGGGCTCGCCAATTTCATACACTCACACTCACACTCACACGCTCGATCTAACCCAGCTCGCTAGCCATCTATTCAATCTCTCCCAAGCTATTCCGAGTTGGAGGGAATATTCCTGTTTGGCTTAACCCACACGAGTATGTGTGATATTCAGCCCTGCTAGCCCTGCTGGCCTGCTGCGACTCAAGGTTGATGGCAGCATTGCATTTTATGCCGAGATGCACTATCTGATTGGATACCAAGCAAGAGCGAGACCCGACCCGCATTGCGTTTCTTGTCTTCTCCTTGTTGCCCAGCATGATACCTACCAAGCCCGGACATCTTCTTTCAAGAAATTACAAAGGTGGTGTTGCCAGGTGAGTAGGTGGGCGGGTATAGTCAACTCGCTTTCTTGCCAAGGTACGAACGAGCCCCTTTGTCACACAATCAGTCTTTGTCTTTGTCTTTGTTTCGCAAAAAACCATGTTCATGTTCCAAAGGGCTTTTCTCGGTTCTATCCTGGGGGCGCCCAGTAGCAGGCCAGTCACGAGGGGTTCGGAAAGTGTGTTTGTACTCGTAATTGTCATACATGGATTGATTGGAATGCCCGCTCGTTGCAAACCGGACTGGCCTGAACAGGTGCGCGCTTCCGGAGCTGTGGACAATAGAAAAATGTTATCGACTCCAGTGCGGTGCCACTTTACATGCCGGTCTGCCGACAAACCCGATCGTAAAGGACAGGACACGACAGCCAACAACCAACAGATGAGGTGGTTCAACAAGCAAAACAACCAAGCAAGGCTCGTCGTCGGGTGAATGGAACGGTGAATATCTCTACCGAAGCACAGCTGCTGGATTGGATTTGTTTCAGATCCCTCCATGCATGGACCATGGGTTGGCCAGCCATGATGGACTCACTACACTTGTCGAGATTGTTATGTCAATCCTCAACCCCAATCGCATGGCGCCTCGTTTTGTTATCGTTGTACGCTACCCAATAATTGTGGCGGTCTGTTCAAGGTGTCGATGTCAAGGGTGTATTATGTCAAAATGATGGGTCTCCTGTAACCAACATCCTGAGTAGTGTCAAGCAGTTCACCCGCCCAGGGTCTACTGTGCGCGGACTGGGGCAGTGGCTTGCCCTCTATCGCATGTCCTCTGGAGAAGTCGGTGAGTGAGGCCCCCAAATAGTTCAACCCGCCTAGCAACAGGACCCGAATCTGCGGGAACCCAATAGACCAGGCCCACGTTTTCTCCAAGAGCAATCAATGCAGTGCCCTGGTTTGAGGAAGGATTATCTTCTTGGGAACACAATCGGCGACCCTCTCCCAAAACGCACACCGCCGCTTACCGAAGGAGTACGCGTACAGAGCAAAAAGGGCAAGCGAGGCAAGGATTTTCGCATTGGAGAATAGAAAAAAGATATCCGAGCTGAGAGTGACGAGGAGGGGGGAAGGGTTCCACCCCGGCGATGGAAATGACATCCGACTGCCGAACTTGATGACGCTTTGTTTGGACTGTAATTTTCTGGGGTCTGGGCCGATCTACGAGTACGAGCTTCTCGGGGGTAAGTCGTACTTGTATGTTGCGCAATGGATCCCCCAGACCCTCGATCGGGGGTTGAATCAAGCTCTCGGGATTTCCTTTCGCGCTACCAACCGGCAAGGGACACTTGCCTCACATTTTGCCTTGATTATTGGTGGTGGAGGGGATCTGGACCGTGACGAATACGAACGGATCGACTATCCTCCCTGGGGAGGTTGTGTAGAGAGACGGGGTAAGTACGGTAGAGCTTGGGAGGAGAGACGACGAGGCGGAGCGAGTGGGAGAGTGGACCATATTTTTTTCTTGTTTGTTCGTCGATGTTTGTGTCTCACGTCAGGAAGGGAAGGGAAGTGGTGCCAGTGGAGAAGGGAGAAGCCACGACGGGGACGACGGGGGCTACCAGGAATCAGAAATCAGGAATTCATTCCTCATCTGACACCAGGCATCAGGCATGCTTACAGGTGGACAGGGTTGACAAGGTAGTCCCCGTGGATTAGCCAAGCAAGAAGGAGGCATCCAGACAAAGGGACCATCAATGGTGTATGTGTGTTTGTTATACTCGTACTCCAATGACTTCATCATGTGTCGTATTGAGAAACCCGCAGGGCCCAGCCCAGCCCTCCTTTTTTCTTTTTTTCCCTTTTTCCTTTTACCTTTTTTATCTAAGGCTGTCTTTTCCATTGAGATACACGTGGTATCAGCTGGCACGGACTTTTCTTCTCATCGATCTGCGTCCTATGAAACCTTGTGAGAGGGAAGTTAATCACGGGCTAAGGATGAAGTTTATGCTCCAGTGAGGAACGAGCGGCTTTCAATTGGTCCCCCGTGAGCAGAGGACGATGCAACTTCCACAATGTCCGCATTGTCCGCCATGCCCTGGAACTTGGAATGAGGCGGGTTTATTCCCACTTTCAAACATTGGAGGAGGAGCTGACAGGGTGGTCCAGATCTCCTGTCGATCGAGGGAATCAAGTCATCAGAACAGTATTTAAAAGGCAACAACATTCATCAGAACTCTACTCTCTCTCCTCTCCTCCCCATACGCTATACATTTTACCTCGCATAACTGAAAGGTCTTGATTTCTTCTAGCTTACAAGCTCACAAGCTTGCAAATTTTAGATCGCCGATAGAGTTGCTCGAAGTGCGAGTGGGAACCAGGCAGAAGCTTCTCAACTGATTTTGTCTGTCTCTAGTACTTTACTGGAGAAAGACCTCCCTGAACTCAAATACTAAGCACCAGGGTGGGGAGTACACTACACAGAGGCCCGTTTTTAGTCTTGGGCGTGGAGACAGTTGTAACTTCCATACATGCATGCGTAAACAGAACAAACATACTCACCGCTAGGAAATTATCAGATCATGAAATTGAGTTTTTTTAGGGGGGAGGAGAGAGAAAGAGATCAGCCATTCTCCGTTACAGGCGCAAGTTTTGCCAAAAGTTTGTGTTTGGGGGCGCGGAAATGCGATTCCAAACTGGGCGGCGATTCTTCCCCACTCCCTCTCTCTCTGCCTCCCTCTTAATTTTCTCCTACAGTGAGGCTACTAAGGGGCGGACACTAGGGGGTGTCCACTACCGATATTCACTACAGCCATATCGAGTACCTTAACCTCATACTCGGAGATCGACATGTCTGGAACATACCTGGGCGAGCTGGGCTGCGAAAGTTTCTTTTTTTTTTTTTTTGGTTTTTTGGATTTCTGAAAATGCCATATTCCATGGGGATGCAAGGGCGATGTACATACGTACGTACCAATGTAGTAGTCTCTCTTCCCCTTTTGTCCCATGTGGCCTGTAAAGGTTTCTTGGCTGGTTGGCTGGCTGTTTAACTGGCTGGCTGGTTGATTGGTGCAATGGCTTGGTCGTGATCTGGACCTCTCAGTAGCTCGACTTGACTGGTCATGCAGTATCAACATTGCCATCAGCATCAGTATCAGAAGCACCATTAGGAGAGAGGAAGGGATTTGCTCGTGCTCGTGCTCGTGCTCGTATTCATGTTCATGCTCATCCTTGTGCTCGCTCGTGCTCGAAATCTTCGTGTCCACAAAAAGCGGACTCCTCTCTCCTCCTCTTAAGCCACAAACCACCTCTGTCCAAGGTGTCTGTCCATATCTGGGATTTCCCGCCGGCGGGGGACATCCATCCGCTTTTCTCCCTTGTTTGCTCGTTGGTGGGTGGCTGTATGGGTCTCTACAGAGAGGGAGGGAGGGAGGGTCCGGGGCAATGTATCCCATCGCTGGGCGACGATATCCATACGAGTCCAACCTCGAGCATCCCTTCCTAGGTCGGTAGCAGGTAGGCCCATACCTGACGGTACACGAGGGTCTCTGTATGTGTATGTATGTGTACCTGACATGACTTCTCCCGCGACGATTCGTACCGTGCCGAAGCAATCACGGATAGTTCCTCTCCCTGAGAAAAACCTGGGAAAACCCTGGCTTTGGCGGAGTATCTCTCTGAATCTGGATTCTCCAGAGTCCCAGAAGGGGAAGGAGGAGCTCGTTTCAGAGAGATGTGCCCCGGGAATATCGCTTGGTTACTTCCCGCTCAGGCAAGTCTGGAGCTCTATCCGAGATCTCCCTGTGTTTTGCATCGCAGGGGATTGAATGCCGGGTACCTCGTAGGGTGATTGTGGCGCCTCTGTCTCTGTCTTGGGAATCTTGATGCCGGCGAGATCAGGGAGGTTTGATTGATAGTTGCGTGTTTCTATGGTACCGCACCACCAGCAATTTCGTGCGTCGAGGCAACATCCAGAAAGGAGGCAAGCAGGCAATCACGCACCTCGTCCAGATTTGGTCACCCCCTGGAGGAATTCACGAGGCAGTCATGAGACGGTCACGAGGTTTGCGTCTCCCTGGTCTCCCTTATTCCAATACGGGCATGCTGAAAGTGACGTATGCATGTGGCATGAATGGACCAGGTTACCTCTGAGAGTATCTTATTGGAGTAGATGGGCCTCGGTGCGGTGCAGACCTGTCAGGGCGTTGCATTCTTGAACTTCGACCCGACATTGTGTTATCGACCCAGCACTGTCACTGTTGCATATCATTTATGTCTTGTGAGCGAGTCTGATATACAGACATACATTCACAGTGTAAACAGCAAAGTGACATTTGAGTTCTTTTAGCGTAGAGGGTTTTCCCAACAAGAAAATTTAGTGTATGCACAGATAGGTTTTTAGCTAATAACGCTCATTCATGAGTTATACTCTTCACAAAGCCAGCAACGGAGTTGTCAAAAAGAAAAAGAAAGAAAGAAAGAAAGAAAAAAGACAAATAAAACCAAGACAGAGCAGACATGCATAATGAATGAATGGATGCATGTATGCATGAAGTCGAGCAAAAAGAAATGTGAGGCACAAAATAAAACATGTTCGAACCCGGGATCGAACCGGGGACCTCGTCGGATCAAAGGCTCAAAGATGTGAGCAACGCGTGATAACCACTACACTATTCGAACACAATTCCTGTGCATGTTTTAGGGCATGTCATATATAAATGTGCGGCGCGGGTGGTACGGAAAAGCTTGTCTGGACCCATAGCCAGGCTAGGAGCTTCCACGCCCCCAATGAAAGCTACGGGTGACAGGCTCGCTGTGGAAGGATGGTTCGATATCATTTCTCTTCACAAGATATGGCGAGAAGTGCGACACAGATGATGAGATCTCTTACGGACATCCCTTGAATCAAAGAGCCCTTCATGTAAGTACAAACAACGAATCAACTCCGCCACCAAATGTTTGATCAATGTGACGAGTTTTGGTTAGTATCTCACCCTCCGACATCCGCCCGCTCGTGGCTTCCTGAACATACCGGCCCAACAGTAAAATAGATGGGGTCATCCGTGCATGGTTTCTGGGCTTCTGGACGCTTTGCTCATCTGTACGTACAGATTACGATATCTCTCGAGTGGCTGCCACAGAATACCAGACAAGACACAAGATGCGAGATACATTACAAGATACACTCAAATGACCCTCCAAGTCATGCCAGAATCCCCGTTCTTTACGTACATCGAGAGACTGGATGGCGAGCATGCGGGCCTAGAAATACCCACTGTCCCAATCCTGCATGACCCAGCTGCGGTCCGACTCGAGGAGGATGGCATCGAGGGCCATCTCGTCGCCACCGAACCCGTCGTTAACTCCCATCTCTATCCCGAAAAAACCTCCGCCATTGCTGCCGTTGGCGGAATGATACACGGAGTTGCGCTCGAGAGGATCCTCTGTCGGTGTCGCCGCAAGGGGGATTCTTGCGTAACCGCTCCCGCCTCCGCTGTGGTTCTCTATGGTTGAGCTCGAGAAGTCGCTATGGTGCTCGTGCTCGTGGTCCTGTAAGTGGCTGTGGCCGTGCTGTCGATGGTGCTGGTTCTGGTGCTGGAGTTGCGCACGGCGAATCTCGGCATGACTTCTGGGAATCCCTGGAGTAGCTGAGCCCTTGTGACTATGACTGTGACGGTGGCTTGTTGCGGACGACGGAACTCCGCCATGGGGCTCGTGAATAATGTCCACTTGCGCAGCTGAACTTGTGCGAACATACGACCTGTGACTTCGAGCCGTGACCTCCACGGTACTATTTAACCTCCTCTGCGCCTCCTTGTCTGTCAGAGCGTCCTCGTCCAGGTCGTTGTTCGAGTGTAAATATGTCGACTGATACGGCCCTAGGTGGTCAGATGAGAAGTGACTCTCACGTTGTTTCGAGAGAGGTTTTCTGTGCTCTGGAGAGTCGAGGTCGTAACTGCTCGCCGCTTCAGGGACAGCAGAGGCAGTCGTGGGTGGTGGAAGCATCTTCAACGCGGAGTGGTCGATGCCATTCGAGTCGGGCTCTTGACCGCTTCCGTGCCTCTCTCCGTCCATATCGATGGCACGTATTTCATCACACTCTCCCCACATGGGTACGGTCGAAGGTGACAGTTGGAAGGTGTCGCCTGGGTAATACGTTATCTCACATCCCTGGTCGGTCCGATCGATTCCTCTCTCCGTCGATGCGATACTATCAGCATCGGCGACATCAGCGGCATTGCCCACATTCGATGATGAAGAAGAGGAAGAAACCGCAGGAGCAACAGCCGTGCCGGTTCTGTGAGGCAGGGAATCGCGGTCTACGCTCTTGACGGTCTTTTGTGCCGAAAGAACGAAGCTCGGGGACGTCAGCCCGACGACAAGGTCGCACTTTGGGCACAAATCCACACCTAGCCGTTCAAAGAGCGACAGCTGGTCAGTGAGACTGGAGTCCCTGTGGTTCTGCCCGAGCAGGGCCATGTTTCGCTTGGACGCGAACGACCCCGTAGCACTGCTGCGGTTCATCGCCGACAACAGCTTATTGAGCGATCCTAGGTGACGATGAGCCGAGTGCCAGGTCTTGCTCATCTCTAACAGGGAGTACCGGATCATCTTAAATTCCCTCTTGGACGCTTCTCTCAGAACCGGGATCTTGTGACCTGATATCTGCGGCAGGCCTGCCGTGAAGAGGTAGAAGATGTGGATGGGACTGAGGTACCGGAGCAGGTCGCGGGCTAGGAAGTCCTCAAAGATGCGCGACACGCACGACGAGGCCAGGATGGCGGCGACCGAGCAGTTTTGCACCGCCGGACCTGGACCATACAGTATGGAGATGGCTGTGAAATAAGGTATGTGCAACTGCCGGGTCTCGAAATCAAAGTCGCTGGCACCGTCTAGCTGGAGATCCAACGGCAGCTGGCTCCTCCATCTATACAGGTCTCGGCCGACGCCGACGCAGAGCGACCCAATGTGCCCTCCAGGTAGGGCCGCCTGTCCTAAACGGCCCAGAATACAGCATATGTCGACATAGCTTAGGAAGAGCCGAGCGTGCTTGTTGTCTTCGGAGAAATCATGGAGCGTGGGCCATCGTACGGTACAATCGTTGAGGTTGATGGAGCGAGGTCGGCCTTGAGAGGCTGATAGAAGCGCGTCGCGAGCCTGCCCACAGTGTTGGTTAGTCGTCGGTCGCCGGGTTGCAACAGTTGGGGAACAACCACTTACAACCAGTGTCCAGAAAAGCCTTCGACGGAGCTTGTAATCTGGGTTTCTGGGATCCGGCTCTCGATGCAGACCTATCTGGAAGGCTAGTCCGACAGCCAGCCGCAGCCAGGAGACACTGGAATGGATGGAGACAAACTCGGGCCCATTCGGGTTGTACCACTGGAGCAGACACAGGGCGCGGATGACGGTGAGTGGGTTAAGTTCGTGTTCGGCGAAATACAGCGCTTTGGCTCGGTTGTAGAACTCGCTACAGCTGTTGAACGAGAAGCGCGATGATTGCACGCGGCTCCCCGCCACGAAGAGCGCCTGGGTGAGCAGGAGGGACACAGTATTTTCTCCCTGGTTGCTGTGCCGGGTCTGGACCTTGCAGGCTCCCAGGCCAATGCTTTTGAGCTCCTCCACCTCGATCACAGGCATCCACGGACTGCAATATACGGTGAAGCTGCTCACGAGGCTTTCTCTGATGGCCCGGGTGGGGAGATCAAACGCCCTGTACAGGCGCAGAAAGGCGAGGTCAACCTCGGGTCGCGAGTTTGTGGGAGGTGATGTCGGCGCCGACGATTCCATCAACTCGGTTTCTCTTTCGAGGAACTCGATCTCGTTCTCGAGATATACCGGTCGACCTACAACTCCACCCGTGGGCGTGAGTATGGCTTGAGGAGTCGACGCAGCTGCGGCCATTGACGCGGCAGACCTGCGTCTCGCTGTCTGCGGCCACGTCGTCGCATTGTACGAGCTTGGGCTGGTTTGGTTGTCGGTATCTCCACATGTTGTGTGTATGGAAGTCGATGGTTCATCGTTTGCATCGTCAACATCATCCCGATCTTCAATCCCTATATCGCTGCGGCTGCCCGAGTCTTGAGCCCGGTAGTTCAGATCGCCGTCGCCATGCTCCAGGACAGTTGGGTGGGTGTATGACTGAGTTCGACAGGGAGCGAGTCGGCTGACATTGGCTTGGGCAGCAGACGTATTCTTGGAAGCTGTGCGCCACGCCCGTCGTTGATGCGGCCTGTGATGAGACGAGATTTGAGTCAGATTTCTGGATTCCAACAACAGATGGATGGCTTCATGAAGGGAAAGACAAGGTATTGCGGGAGCATCGCACGAAATGCAGGAGAGGAAGAGCTTGCTGTCGGGGAGATTTACAAGCACTTCAAACCCTGCGACTGGCAGTTGGTACAGGGCCCCGAGCCTTGTTCAGCGAGATCGCATCGAACCTGAATGGAAGCAACAAGGATCACCGGTCAGTAATGCGCATCCCCAAAGGACAAGGCTTCCTCGGATGCTGCAGACCTTTCTCCTGTTGCAGATGACGCAGGCTTTCCGGCTTCGAGGCCTCCGCGTCTGGTGCAAACGGCCAGGTCGATCCTTTGCGGTCGACATTGCTTCGGCCTCAACTGTTGAACTATTCACCAATCCACCCGAAGGCTCATCGCCCGAGAATTCGTCGCCTAAGGTAGACTTGGGAGCAGACGAGAATACAGCTGGCCCGGATGATGTCTCCATGGCGTCTGTCATGAAATTCCCTCGGACTGCCGACTGGATGCCAGACGATGCCGAAGAATGGCGACAAACATGGGTGATTCTGTTTGATCGGTTTTGATTCCTCGATATGGATCCAGTCCAGACGGGAGAAGAATGAATAGAGTCTCGGGGGACGCTAGCCGTTGAACCACAAGACTCTCGCACCATTCGCCGGTTAGTGGCCACTCACTCGCCCGCTGTGCCGCCATGCAGGGCACAGACTAGACAACCCAATGCGGGGCGAACGCGGTAAGGCTGGGCTGGGAAACGGGACTGCTTGACAGATCTCTCCATATACAACACCCGCCAGTTACCCCAGGCACGGGTCGGGATCCACCAAATTGGGGCTCGAGGACAAAAGGGGAGGAAAACCGGGGGTCGGCCATCGGCAATGACTGGGTTTCGACCGGTTGAAGATGTTGCAAGTTTTCCCGAATGTCGCAGCTCGATGGCAACTTTCGGGACTTTTGGTCATGGGAGACCGGAGAGAGGCCGCATGAACTAGCCGGGATGCCGTGAAGTAGCAAAGCTTTGGGCGCAATGAGCAGTGAGCGGTGGGGAATGCCAGAGGTAATTAATTATTTGATGCTATCAGTACTCGTGAGATAGGGAGAGGATGCTTCAACCGACACCGAGTCTGTCCCTTTAGATGGCGAAGATCGAGACAAACAGCATCGGCTTGTTGGATTGTCCACCGAGACTTGGACTCTGTAGAAACATGACACTGACTCCGGTAACTGGGGACATGAACCTGGGAAATATCTGGCCCTCCTTACGGAGAAGGAATAGGCAGACAGACCACGGAGGCCAAGGACATGTCAAGACCAACGAAGCTGTATCTTGACCAGTCAACTAGGCGAGAGAAGTCAATGTTTTGCTGAACGGGAATGTCTTTTGTCGTCGATGTAACTCGGTCTATTCTATCGTGGCTCGTCACCTCAAGCATTTACACTCCCTCCCAGCCGTGCCCTGGCTTCACTCTTTATCTCGAATACTCACTTGCCCTCATGAAGCGATGTACATGTATGTACACCCAGCGACCTATCCCATTCAAAGCTTACTCAGCCGCTTCCCCCGATCGTAGTCCTTTGCGCCCATGACCAGCTCGTCCTCCCAGTACCGCGGATTATACGTGATGCCGTTCAGCGGGTTCAGGCGGTGCGCGCGGTTGAACAGGTCCTCGTACACTTTGCCGTCGTGGCGCCCTAGCGCGCTGTCGAGGAGGTAGTCCGGGATCATCCAGGCGTCGACCAGCTTGACGGCGTGCGGACGGATCTGCACCAGGAGGCCCTTGATTTTCTCCGGGATCGCGTCCAACTGGTCGGTGCTGATGGCGCTGGTGCTGAGGACTGGAGGGGAGGGAGACGGGGTTAGATTTCGTTGTGTTTCAAGTAACTAAACAGGTGGTCAACTACACATAAAAAGGGGCCAAAACTCACATTCGCGCGCTTCGTTGTCCATCGTGTACAGGCAAAAGAGGCGAAACAGGTCACGCAGGGCGCTCCTCGACTCGGGTGACATGTCTTTGGTGGTGTTCTCGACGGCGGTGTTGAAGAGGCCCACGACTCTCGCTTGGGATTGTGCTAGGGAATGGATCGTGAGCTTCAGTTCAGACAATGCAGAGACAACGCCTGCCTGGGGGTGAGGTCGAGAGGTTTTGACTCACCTAGTCCCAGCTTGTGCAGCTGGATCAAAAGGCTGTTCCACTTTTCCTTTCGGACGACTCTGGCTTCGTAGGCTCGGTATGTCTAGAACGGGGTGAGAAGATAGATCATCTTTGGTTAGTCGGCCAGGAAGAAATGCACTGTCGAGTGAGAGGAAGGGAGAGAGATCTTACCAGTGCTGCTGCCCTCCATTGAAAGGCATCGACCAGTGCTTGATCGCTTCCTGGCACGTCAAAGGGACAGACACTCTGCCCTGAGCCACGAGGAGTAGTTGTTGTTTTGGTTGTCTTGACAAAGTTCCGCAGCACCTTCTCGGTATTGTCTGCCGACTCCCCCTCGGGGTTCTCGACCACGGCAGTCATCTTCTTGATCAAGTAGGCGGCGACTTGCTGCGTGATCATCCAGTTGTCGCCTTCCACCGTTGGTTTCGAGAGGTAGTCGTTGTTCAGTTGGATCATCCCGCTCGCGCCACCGAAGCCATGACCGCCTAGCACGCGCCGGCAGGTCTCGATCCCGTCCGCAGCGAGGCCGGTGCACAGGCTCTTGAGCCCCGTCGACATGCTGTGGAGGTCTGCCAGCTCGCTAAAGTCCCCCGAGCCGATACTCGTCCGTGTCCGGTAGAATAGGTCGCCCATGGCTTGGCCGCTGTAGTGGAGAGCGAACATGGTGGCGAGCAATGGCAGCACTCTGATCTGGACGGTCTGGTAGTCGAGAACAGGCACTTCTGGACCGCTCGGGTCTCCGTCACGGTCTGAGAATTGATGTCTGACCGCCGAGTAGCGAACGGCAATGGTCACGGCGCGAGCGAGCACCATCCTTGCCTGCATGACGATGACGGACCGGGAGAAGGTCATGCTGCCGTAGATGAGCGCGCGGACCTTGGGCTTGCTGTACTCGCCCGTGTCCGGGTCGACCTTTGCGTGACGACTCAGGAAGGCCGAGTGAGGTATTCTGTAGTGGTCGAACAGAATGTATGCATTGTCCATGGTGATGTATCCGTACTTGGGCCCTATATCCCCAATGACGACTCCGTCCTTGGGCTTGTGCGTCCCAAACGCTCGAACCTGAACAACGAACGGGTGCGGACCGTATGAGGTGTAGCCGGTAGTCTTGTCGCTAGACGAGGATTTTGTAGGAAGCAGGAGTTGAGCCACCACGATAGCATGGTTTCCTGTGATACCGATAGACCCGTTCCACCATTTGCTGGATGTCAAAGTCGGGCTGTTCAGAATGAACTCTTTCGTCACAGGATCCCATTTAGCCTCCAGTTCAAGGCCTCTCACATTGCTGCCGTGGCCGAGCTCAGTCTAAAGATAAGGAATGTGAGCATCATCAAAGACTATCACTGGGCAAAAAATGTCAAGAGACTTGATTTACCTGTGCATAACCCCCAGTCACTTCCCAGCTTTCAATCTTGGGCATCCAGTAGGCCAATTGCTCGTCGCTTGCTTGCTCCCGAATCGTATTGGTGAACAGTTTCGTGTGGGCGTAGAATGGATTGACGTCGTCGACCAAGTACAATGCCCTGGAGATCGAATTGACCGGTAAGCGTCACGACGTTCCAAGGACGAGAGATGATAGACAAACTCGAAGTACCTACATTAGGTAGTCGTCTTGATCCCACTTCAGCTGGTCCGCCATGCGCCGCAGACACTTTGCCCGTGTCAGGCCGAGCTCAAACCGTTCCTTTCGCGAGAGATGTTGCTGTGATTCTTTGGAAAAGACAGGCTCCTTTTGTAACGCCTCCAAAATGCGTTGTTGGCGTTCAAGAAAGCCGTCTCGTCCGAACAGGTGCTGTGCTAGCTCCCGGACCGGTAGCGAAGAACTTGCTCTCTCGCGTGCCAGGCAATCCGAACCTTGGGGGTTTGCCGGTTTGAGGTTGTCTGGAAAGGTCGTCATGGCTGCGACCAGTTGATACAGGGTCGACTTTGTGGATCTGCTGGCTCGAATTTTCTGGCTCTTGTTGTTCTGCAGAGTGCCTCAGGGCTGGAGGGGCGATGGTTAATGTATTTGTTTCAAGTCACATATAAATTTGTCGCTGTTGCCCTTCCCACATTGACTCATACAGAGCTCTTCGATGGCGTGAAGAGGCAGACCACTTCGGGAATACGACCATCAATAGCCCACATGTCGGATCGACACGCGTAAAGGAACCGGCTGGATTCGACATTCCTGCACCGCCTGGTGTCGACCCGAATGTGGTTCAGAGTGAAAGCAAGTGATATTCGGCAAATGTTGACGTTGGATCGAATTTCCCGAGCCGAAACGACGAATCGACCTATCAACACAAGACCCGAAGTCAGAACAGACCTCTTCTCCTCGCGTGAGACCCAGAACAGGTAAGAGAGCACAAGACGCTATACTCCGGAGATATGGGGAGGAAAAGTTTTGTTACAAGGTCTTATCTTGCCATACTATCAATGACATCTCCTTGTATCGCAACTGCACTGAAACCGTCTCAAAAGGCCTTTTTGGTAGATACCTCTGGCGAAGTAAAAGCCTTTGTCTCTAAATCTACTCTATTCTGTATCTAGCAACAGCACAATCCCCTATAGTTTCGACGCGAGCGCAGGCTTCGCACTGCTCCAGATCTGTATGTCTCTGTGCCCGTTCTTGGGAAACAACTGAGGTCCCAGTATCTTCTTGGACACTTTTCCAGTTGCGGTCTTGGGAAGATCTTGAACGACTCGGAGCAGAGTTGGAAGTTTGTACGATGACAGTCGATCCCGTAAGTCACGACGGACTTTCTCTAGCGTGAGTTGTTTGGCGGGATCCGGCCACTGATGTATTCCGTGTCAGCAGAGCTTCGTCTCTCATCATCATACATGTGAAAGAGACATACGTTCTGGTTCAGAGTGACCACAGCTGCGGTTCGCTGTCCAAACTCGTCATCGTCGACGCCTACCACCATAGCCTCGCCGATATAGTTCAGAGAAAGCAGCTCGCGTTCCACGTCCAAGGTCGAAATCTTGTAGCCTCCGGATTTGATGACTGCAACAGTGTTAGAGAACAGCACCCAGAACTTGTGACAGGACGTCGAGAAGGAACGATTGAATAAAGGACTTACTATCAATAGACTGCCGCCCAAGAATGAAATAATAAGGCCCGACCTTGCGGGCAATGTCTCCTGTTTTGAAATACCCATCGGCGTCGTGGGCATTTGCCGTTGCCACTGGGTCGAACAGGTATCTGGATTCTCTATCAGTTTACTTGTCCGGGTATGAAGAACATGCACTCACCTCGAGAACATGAACGGAGTTCTCGCGAGGATTTCTCCTTCATCGCCTTCAGAGAGTTTTACCTCGACGCCGGGTGTAAGCGTTCCGACCGAGTCCTAAGAGTATCAAATCAATCAGCCAGCTGGATCTTTTAACTATGGTCAAGGGGCACGATGGTAATCAAGAGTCGTACCATTGGAGCATCTGACGCCGTGCATGGCATCTTGAAGACCGGCCCAAACTCCGTGGCTCCATACCGCGTCAACAACCTCATGCCGCCTGTCAATTTAACCCACTTCTCCTGCAGCGGCAATGGTAAGGCTGAGGTGCCACAAAGGAGGCCTCTCATACTCCGTAGACCGGTCAGGTACTCATTGAGTTCCGCATTCGGAAGCTTACTCAGGTGCGTTTCAAAGTGCTGCATCAGGCGGGCGTACATGGTGGGAACACCGGTGAAGAAGGTCAACCCGCCCTCTCTCCATCGTTGCCACAACTGTGCCGGGTTGAAACTGCCCGAACGGAATTCGACGCGAGCTCCGGCATACAAGAATGGAGAGAAGGACAATCCAATTCCAGCTGCATGGTGGACAGGCATCAGGTGAAGCACAGCGTCGTCAAGCCCCAAGCCGTAATGATCGGCAATTTCGTCTGCAGAGTCGATGAAGTTTGACCTACGCATCACCACGCCTTTTGGGGGACCTGTCGTCCCGGAAGTGAAGATGACGAGACCGGCACCATTGAGGTCGAGAGCGAGGTTCGACGAAATGACAATGTCGGTCGGTCGAAGTGGCTTCTGGTAAATATTTGGCTCGATCTCAATGCATTTGAAGTTCGCATTGGTGGTTTGGTTGATCGCTTCCTCCAAGGCTCTCCCGGTCTGCAGCGAAGTCGACGAGGCCAGAACAGCGTCGGCCCGGGACTTGTTGGCAAAATAGCAAGCTTCTTGAAGAGGGACACCAGGGGCTAGAAGGGGGCAAGATGCCCATGGTCAATGACTGGATTGCTGTCGAACGAAATAAGTAACACCGAGAGAGAAGATGCTCGCTCACCTAATGGGACCGGTACCGCGCCAGCTGCCAGCACCGCGAGCATGGCCACTGCAAACTCGTAGCCTGCAGGCGCGATGATATTGACAAACACCTCCTGCCCTGGCCCTTCATGTTGGATCTGGAGCCTCGAAAACACCTGCGGGTGGAGTGATCCTTCGAGCACATTGCGGAGGTGGAGGATATCAGTCAGCAATTGAATATGCGAGGCATGATATCCGGTGGTCCCATCCGTGATAGCAATCCTATTATGCCGGCTGGCGAATCTGAGTAACCTTGAGAAGAGAGCGAAGGCGGGCAGGACGTTGGGGCCACAGTGATTCGGGACCAGACCAGTTCGGTCGATATCCAAGTCAGCGTCCATCTTCTGGGGGAGTCCAGGGCGAGAAACTCGGATCTGAAGAGTGAAAGATCGAGGGGATATCAGACACGGCCCTTGGCAATTCATACGATTGACGAGAAAGCCCCTGGCCGAGAAGGGCTTGGGTCGATTGAATCTGTATGTTTTCGAGAGCCGAATCCTCGTCGTCTCGACATTTGCCGAATCTTTGTATCTCAGTCGCATTCGGGAAATCCAGCTCGGGTCGAGATCGCCACCATCAACCGAACAGTCGTTCTGGCCACATGCATAGAGACCAACCGAATACGAGCTGGTTCACCTGTACAAGAACCAAATAGGGTCTCACGGGGATTGAGGTTGGAATCCCTGCCTGCAAGAGGCATATCATCCCTTGCTTCCCTGTTCTGATCCCAACTTTTCCCCAGATATTCCCCGGATTCCTTTTGCCCACCTACAGAGTCCTTTTTTTTTCTTTCTATTTCCCTTTTCCCAGCACTTGTCACCCAAGGCCAATTAACATGGCTTCACAGGTGACTCCGGCCGCTGGCGACACGATCAGCAGTCCTGTGCACAAGGCGGACGGCAATAGGAGCGAAGTGCGCGTCGAAAATGTCAAGTCTCCGCATCTCGAGATCGGGACCGTAGAGGAGGGTGGTTCTACGTCGACCGAATATGCTCGCCAGCTCGAGAAGAGAGTCGTACGCAAGTTCGACCTACATGTCCTCCCTATCATCTGCATGATGTGTACGTCTTCCCATGATACGTATGGCTGAAACGCCTACCGAAGCTGCGGTTTGCTGATCGAGTCTCCCTAGACCTGCTATCTTTCCTCGATCGCTCCAACATCGGGTATGTCTTCCCATCTACTTGTGTTGGGAAACAAGACTGAAAGTTCATCTTCTGTCAGGAATGCCAAAATCGCCGGCATGCAAGAGGATCTCGATCTGGACTCGAACCGCTACGCATGGCTATTACAGATCTTCTATATCAGTTTCATCGTGTTCGAGCCCTTCATCCTCTGCTGGAAGAGGTTCCCACCGCACTGGTGTGCCACAGCCGCCATCACTACCTGGTATGTCAAAGCATAAAGCCCCCTACTCTCGTGCAGGCTTTGTTTGTCTGATATTGGGCCTATCTAGGGGACTCGTAGCAACCCTCCAGGCTTCAGCCTCCAGCTGGCAAGGCTTGATGGCCTGCCGTTTCTTCCTGGGCATGGCCGAGGCCGGCTCTGCATTGGGAATCGTCTACTACCTCTCATTCTTCTACAATCGCAGCGAGCTGGGCTTCCGCATCGGCATCCAGTTCTGCTGTAGTCCCCTGGCCACCTGTTTCGCCGGTGTCCTGGCATACGGAATCACTTCTGGCCATGCGGCTTTTGCAAGCTGGAAGGTGTTGTTCGTGGCCGAGGGTCTACCCAGTGTCGCCGCCGGCTTGGTCACCTGGTTCTTCCTCCCAGACACCCCCGAGAGTCTCAAGGTGCTCACAGAAGAGGAGCGGGCTGTGGCAAAGGCAAGGAGCCTGCGACAGGTTGGCATGGAGTCAGAGCAGAGAATCGGCCATCTTAGGTGGAAAGATATTGGAGAGGGACTCTTTGACTACAAGAACTACTTGACGGCGGTATGTATCTTGCCGTACCTAGTCCTTCCCATACCTCTTACAGATGTTCCCCTTGAGCACAACACTGGTCTGTCATACTGACTACTCTTTTAGCTGATGTACTTCTCCACTAACCTGTCCTTCACCTCCCTGCCGGTGTTTCTGCCCACCATCTTAGTCGAGATCGGCTTCAGCGGCATCCACGCACAGGGCCTCACCGCACCGCCGTATCTTCTCGCCTTCTTCACCACCCTCGCCTCGACCTACATCACAGACAGGACCCGGCAGCGCGGCGTGACCATTATGACCCTGGCGACGATCGGAACAGTCGGATACATTCTCCTCGCCGCCACCAAACCGACGGCCGTGAGATACTTTGGAGTGTTTTTGGCTGCGGGCGCCATCTTCCCCACAATGGCGAATATCCTGCCGTGGGTTCTGAGTAAGTTTATCATTATCATCATCATGACTCCCTGTCGTCCAAACCCCTTTTTCGATGAATGCATATACGCTCCGAGCGGAGAAGACTTACCAACTCGTGCTCTAGATAACCAAGGCTCCGACACCAAGCGCGGCATGGGCCTGACGATCCTCAACCTGATCGCGCAGACCGCCTCACTCATCTCGACCCGCCTGTTCCCCGAGGAAGACGGGCCCTACTACCGCAAGGGCATGGCCGTGTGCGCTGCCTTTATGTTCTTCACCGTCCTTCTCGCCCTCACCCTGCGCACCTTGCTGCTGTTTGAGAACCGGAGACTGGACGCTCGATACGGGCCCGTCGTGGCGGCTCCGACCGTCGTGGAGATGTCCAGCGGCGCGTCGCTCGACGAGCCGCAAAAGTGGAACGAAACGGGAGAGGAGAATGAGGGTCCTAGGTTCCGCTTTGTGCTGTAGGCAAGAGAGGCGCTCTTGCTTCCCAGGCAGACACGTACAGACATATACGTACAGGCAGGAGGAGAGAGAAGGGGGCGTTGGGATATTTTACCCAGCGGTTCAGGCGACAACTGCTGTTATCGACCTGCGGTATGTTGGCAGCTGAGAAGGTCCTGCCTAGATGATGCCAGCGTCCGAGTGATGTTTTATACCAAAGATAGCCTTTTGAGGGGATGAGGGTATCTCGCTGAACGGACGAACGAACGAACGACGACAGTCTTCCTTCGATGGACTCTCTTTTCCTTCTCGCACCGGAGCGATTCATACCTCGTACTATTTATACCTTACCAAAGCTACTCGGCCAAAGCAGACTCTTATATTCTTGAAAACATGCCATGCATCTTCACTCGCTCCATACGCCATCACACTTGGTACCTGTAGTTGTACGGTACAGAGTGAGTAAACAACCTACCTTCCTCATCCGGTCGATCGATCCGTATCAAGTTAGCTGCAGATTAAAGGGTGGAAATTGTTGGGCAGAGGGGATTAAAGTGGATCATTGGACCGGTAGTCGATACTACCATCTCATACCTATGTACCGAGTACTAATGCACCGAGTACTTATGTAGCTTCCTTCGGGGGCGCTCCACGCACAAATTGTTATGCTTTGTGTAGAGGTCAGATGATCAAATTGATGGTATTTGTCGTGGGTCGTGGGGATATCGGGGAATAACCATCTTCCGTGGCGAGATACGCGCCTACCCTGAGAGGAGGAGTTGTTGGTCATGACTGGCTTCCCAAGGGATAGCTCTCCTGAGAAACCATGTATTTTTTTTTTCTAAGCAAGTTTTCCGTGCCGGTCGATTCTACATCTCATCTAGTCGTCCCCAAGTGGCTTCTCTCGCAAGGTTATTTGATTGATTGAAGCCCACTGTGAACACCATTTGAACTTGTGGCCCGGTCTCTGGCTAGAATCAAAGACCCAGGCTACTTGGTTTGCTTGTCTGCTTGTCTACCAGGAGAACTTCTGCTTCACGATCGACTCGCTGAGATCCCACAACTTCTCCGCCCCCTCGGCGCGCTGACACCAAGCCGCAGGCTCCAACAGCTGACAATCCGACAGGTAATAGTTATGTCCTTCGGCATCTGGCTCGGCGATGTCCGGATCGAGCGCCGCCTCCAGCGTCGTCGAGGCGCCTTGGTCGAGGTTCTTCAGCTCGTAGGCACCCGCGTCGGCGCCGGCTTTCATGTTGTCCTGGACCGCCTGCTCCGTGTGCCGCCACAGGTCGGTGAAGATGACGCCCGGGTGGATGGCGTAGGATCGGATGCCGAATTTCGGGAGGAGCCGCCGGTTCAGGCCTAGAGCGTGCAGACAGTTTGCAGACTTGGACTGGCCGTACGCGATGTAGGGGCTATTTACGCCAGAAAAGCATCGGGTCAGTGTTGTAGAGATAGTTCCGACGGATGATCAACTTTCACAAGGAAAAAGAGGGAAAAGAAAGAAAAATCCTACCTATAGACTCCCTCCGTGCTCATCTTCAAGCTCTCCAACATGGGCGCGTTGGCCCGGTCCTCCTCGGGCAGCTCGGCCTGGGTCTTTGTGAAATTGGGGTCGGAGAACCTCACGGGCGAGAAATGGTGGGCCGACGAGGACACGACGACCACTCGGGTGGACCCGCGGGGGGACGTCGTTGCGGACGCGATCAACTTGTCCATGATGAGGTTGGCGAAGAGGAAATGGCCGATGTGGTTGGTGGCAAACTGGATCTCGTTGCCGTCCTCGGAGAGCTCGCGCGTGGGCACCGTCATGACCCCGGCGTTGCAGATGAGCAGGTCGACCTGCTTGACGTCCGGGTTTGCCAGGAGCGCCGCGGCGGCGTCGCGCACGCGGGCGATCGACGACAGATCCAGGTTCAAGAAGGTGAACTTGGTCGCGGGATACTTGGGCGCCAGGACGTCGATCACGTCCTGGACCTTCTTGGCCGATCGGCCCGTCAGGATCAAGAGGCGCGGCGCCTGCGAGGCCAGCGCTTCGGCGGTGCTCATGCCCAACCCGTTGAGCGACACGCCCGTGACGATGATGGTCTTGTCCTTGACGGCATCGGGAAAGGCACGGGCGACCTCGAAGGCTCCGGTCCTTGAGTTGAATTTCGGTGCTGTCGTCATCTTGATGTTACTCTTTCGAACGGTGTTTCTCTTGTGTCCTTCTCTCCGTCGTTGATAACCACTTTGCGACAAGCAGTCTTGCTCTGTACTATCGCTTCGAGGAGAAAAAGGTCTTTGAAAAATGATACTCTTTCTTCGCAGACTCGTATTTTCTTTCCCCGGCCGGCAAATATAGAGTTGTAAATAACAATGATCAAGATCTACTCTCTATGCTGCCCCTCTTTGACCAAGTAATCTACCAGATGAGCCTTTTCGGGAGTAGCAGCTATCAATCCAAGGAGATAGTAAATGACACACATACACACCTCTCCACAAGACACCTTCCAGCCTACATATGCTAGAGGAATACACCATTTTCCCACCCACCCAAAACCCCCTACTATGCTCGG